AAGGAGTTTCTGTGTTGCAGGTTATCTTGGTTGCATTCTCCTGCATAACAATAGAAACCCCTTGCATATCTGTGTTAAGACTGGGGCCGGCAGCCCATTAGTTTCGAAGGAGTTTATTTTTAACAAGAATCTTGTCCGGTTGTGCCTTATCTGTGTCATTAAGTACAGTGTTATCCTACCTTGGCCCTTTCCCCAGACAGGGACAACCGGGCAAGAAGGAAAGTGTGTTGGGCAGTGTTTCTTTCATATGGTATCTGGACCAGTGTTCCCTCTAAGCTGAGTTAGTGTGAGCTAGCTCACAGATTTTTAGCCTCCAGCTCACACATTTTTGTCTCAGCTCAGGAAGGAGGGCTCCAGAGCAAACTAATTTAGGCAGTAGCCAAATCGCTCACTCACAAATTTAATGCCAGTAGCTCACAAAGTAGAATTTTTGCTCACAAGATTCCACAGCTTAGAGGGAACATTGATCTGGACATTTCTTTTTTGGCATGTGGCGCTCTTTTTTGCAGACAGTTTGCACCTCTCTGAATGGGGGGCAGGACATTTGGCTACACAGTATCTGGGGCGGCCTGCTGTCTTACTTTCAGTCATAGGAATTTGGGTGGCAGTTGGGCGATTGCCCAGCTCTTGTGGTGGCTTGGGCATTGGGCCAGATGGGGGGGGGGGGAGGCTGAGCTTCCGTGCCTGATTCCCTGGGTCTGGGAATCCGCATAATGGGTCTTGGAGGTACAGCTGTTCAGCAATGCTCAGAGGCTTCAGATGGCCAGGGAACCATGCAGAGGCTTGCATTCGTGTGGGACCTCAGACCTTGGCATCCCACAGCAGCTCCCCTAGCGGGCGAGCTGGCTGCATGGTTGGTGTCATCAGCCGACAGGTGGGTTGCCCAAGGCTGGATCTGTGCCCCCATGCTGCGCCAGTGCTCCTGAGTCCTGCTGTTGTGTCCAATAAAAGGCGTGACCTCCTCTTTCTCCAGCTGTGTGTTTGGCTTTCTTGTGCCCCTTTCAGCCCTCGCTCCCTCCCTTGCCCTTAGGACCTCGGCGGAACAGCAGTCTAGCATAACATGTCACTTTGTTTAGTTCACTTACTTGCTTTTACCTGCTGGAGGCGGCTCACAACAATAAACAAGAGGAAAGCACAAAAACTCTAAAATCATTAAAATTAAAGACCAGGCAAATAAACCGAGAAAAATAAAGGCTCAGAAGCAAAAAAACCCCCCAAACCCTGCAGACTATAGGATTCTCTTAACAGGCCTCAGGTCAGAAGCAGATAATAAAAACAGAAGACCAAGAGCATAGTCAAAAGCCTGGGTTAAGAAAAGAAAAAAGAAATGTTTTGACCTGGCACCTGAAATAATGTAGGGTAGGCACCAGGCGAGTCTCTAGAGGGGAAGGGCATTCCCCAGGCAAGGTGCCACTGCTGAAAAAGCCATGTCTGTGGTTGCCAGTGGGGCACAAACAGCACAGCTTGTGAAGGGGATCATAACTGGCGTGCTGGACAATGAGTGGAGACGGTCTTTTGTGTACCTTGGCTTTGAATTGTGCTCAGAAACACAAGATCTGCAGTCAGTGCAGATCTTCCAGCACAGGGGTGATAATATCCCTGTATCCAATCCCACCGACAGTAGCCTGGCTTCTGCGTTCTGGGACCAACTGAAGTTTCTGGACCATTTACAAAGGGAAGCGTCACCTAGATCATAATACAGTAATCAAACCAGGTCATCATCAGAGCTTGGATCAAGTTGTTTCTCCCACATCTCTGCCTCTGGAAAAATAGTAATTAATTTGGGTGGGAGAGCCCTAACAAAACAGGTGACAGCAATTTGATATATTGTTCAGATAGATTAGTGCCTAAAAACCTGAGGCTAGCCACTAAGATCATAAATATCAAAAAAGAACACCATTCCTTATGTCAGGGGCATCCTGTGCTTTCCCGCTGTACATCTTGTATCCTTCACAATGTCAGCCACACTGTTGCAATGCAAAGCTTATGTCACATTTTCCCTTCCTTGGAGCAATCTAACAGGTACCTCTCTCTCTTTTTAAAAAAATTATTTGGGATAATGACTCCAGTGGGCCAAACAATTCAGTAATTGGTTAACTGAATTCTGGGGCTTTGTCTAAGCATACTGTTGCCAGATCAGTTAAGGCTGCGCTGCAGTGTTCTAGAGGAAATACATGTGCATTTATATTTCCCTAATGATGGCATTGTAATTTAGGAAGCAGAAAATTGGACAATGCTTATTTCTGGCTTGATGAGAGACAGATTATTGTTTTCAAGAGGGTACTAATTGCAGGTGGTTATCATAAACGATCTGTTTCAAAATATTTGAACAGCTTTAATGCTATGAATACAATGGATCTTCAAGGCTGTCCCCCAAAAGCTCTGATTACCCTATGTAGTGAAACTGGAAGTTTCCGTCCATTCCAGTTTACCCTGCCTTATATTGGAAGATTGGGGGGGGGGGCGCTGCATCTAATGTCATCACATAGAAAATTAAAGATGTTATTGCCCACATCATGCCCTCAGTGACTGGAACTAGTTCACAGAATACAAGGGTGTCATAGTCAGCCTTAGACTAGCTGTAGGGGATTTGATTAACATATAAGCTGTGGGAAATGGCGTGAAGGAGAACTGGGTGGCATCTTAAGCTTATTAAGTCGAAGACTTGGGCAAGGCTCACATGAATAAACTTCAGTTCTCAGGTTTGTGCCGGTAGCCCCATATTATTGCAGCCTTTCTCCAGAGAAACTTAACTGCCACCATTTTGGTAGCTGGGCCAGGAACAATGGTTCCAGAATGTCTTACTCTACAGCCTTAAGAATTTCCTCTCTATTTGGACATACTGGCAATTATTAATCTGAAAGGCTAAATCATTGCTTTGGAATCATCAGGTATAGTATCTAGGTTGCAAGATGGTGTCTTTGCCATTTGATGGGAGGGAATTTTATTTTTCCTGCCTGCTTCCCTCTTCCCAATTATGATAGAGCCAAGCAAAAATCAAATGATATTTTTGTTATCTTTAACCATCCCTTGAAATTGAATAGCCGTATACAGCAACATGTTTGTTAGTTGTGTGACAGTTGGGACTGTAGCTCTCATCAATAACACATCCCCTACTACATTACTTCATAGAGGTAACCAAGGACTAGACCCTGTCTGGAAAAGCTGGATATTAAGTTAGTAAATGATTGCTCAAGATTGCTTCGAGCTTACAACAGCTTTCAGGAAGTTGTAGTGGGAGGTATGTTAGTGCAGAATTAAGGTTTTATGTGTATATTATCTATGCATTCTGTATTCACACTAAGTAACTGAATCTATGAAGCTTCCTAGTGGATGCCCATCTCTATTATTATTCGTTTGGACAGAAGATCTCCATAGGAGTTCTGACAAACAAGACATACAGTGGTATATAAAGCTGTCAGTGTCACCTGTAAGCTGCAGGACCCATGTACTTTCTGGTTATAAGACTACAGTGTTTGGCGTGAGGAGAAGTCCCATCTCCCCTAACTGTATCTCACATTGCAGCCAGCCCATGCCTTTCCCCCATATTCCTTTCCTTGGCCAAGGAAAATAATGCAATGTCAGTGTGTGCTTCTAAAGTCTGGCGGAACCTTGGAGGATATGAGTGATTCCTATACTCAGATGTTGGAGAGAATTTAAGCTTTAATGTTAAAAGTATCCCCCCCCCCTATAAAGAAGGTTCTTTCCACTGGAAGGTAAAAATGTGATGATCTCCTTCTCCAGTCTCTGTAAATATAATATCTAGTACTTTTGCATTTTTGACAGCGTGAGAAAAATATCTCATAAAATATCTGCTCTACTCTCCAAATGTCAGGAAATGCTTTTTATTTCCGGGGTGGGTGGGGTGGATTTCATGTTCTTGCATTTCAGGAACTTGGAGGATGAATAGTCACACATCTTGTGCAAGTAGTCAAAAACCATATGAAGGTCCCGGTCACACAGGCCGGATATCGCGGGGGGGGGGGAGGCGTGGCTGTTTGCCCCGGAGCAAACTACCGCGCGGCAGTGGGATCAAACGTCCCGCCGACGTCCTGTGGTTGGGGGGGAGGTGCTGATCATACATCACTCCTGCGGCGCGGCAAAGATGCGGATTGGCGGGGTTTTTTTTTCCCCTAAACCCAAGTGTTCGCATGCTCCGTTGGGTGCTTGTGGGCATCCAGTGGAGACTTGGGGGGAAAAAAACTTTTCGCGACGGGACATGGGTGGGCGCCGGATGCCACTGGAAACGTGATCAGATGCCCGCCCTTGCCCCGCGGTTTCCGGAAACTAGTACCTCGGAGGTACTAGTTTTTTACCCCGCATCTTCGGCAGGAAGCCTCGGGTGAGCCACGGGAGCTCTACGCTTCCCAGATGTGGTGCTGTGATCGCGCCCGGAAAATCCGCCTATCTTCCGTCTCTGTAGCGTGGCTAATGCTTCGTGTGACCGCAGCCGAAGATTGTTTCTCCTCCTCAACGTTTGGTTCTTCTGAAGGGAAAGGAGCTATTGGGGTTATTTACTTTTGTATTGCAGTATGTCTTAATTCACCTTGCTATTACTTTGCCTCTGGGTAATCTCGAAAGGCTGTGTACGCTGAATATTCATCTCTCTACATTTTGGTTCTGTTTCCCAAAAGGAAAAAAAAATCAGACCCCTGCTAAGTTAAGAATAGCATGGGTAAGGAATAGATCGCATAGGATGCATAATCAGTCTATGCAGCTGATACAGCGTATATAAAATGAATATTACTTCTTAGAGAAGGAGGTGGGGGGAAACGTTCCATCCTCTGCCCGCATAAGGGTACTTCATCCAGCAGAGGGGAGAATAATTTTTGTTGGCTCCCTCCCCCACTGAAGACCTCCCTCCATTTCATCCTCAGTGGTTTTTCTGTGCTTGCAATGCTCTAAATCTAACCAGCTTAGAAAAATTAAACTTTTAAATGTCTTCATTAAAAGGGATTGGACAGGTGTAGTACAGAGAGGTCTAATAACAGCTGTTAGCCATGACAGTTAAACTGGGATGTCTGTATGTAGAGCAGTATGTTTCCAAGATCCTGATGCAGCGAAAAGAAACTAAGGAACAGCTATCCTCCCCTGCTAGTGAACTTCCAGAGGCCACTGTGGAGAACTGGATCCTGCCCACAGTCTCTGAAGACAGAAAGATTTCTCTTCCCGCAGAGGCACAGCTTCCCCGCCTCCTCCCTCTTGCTGCATCCTGAAATTCCTCCCCAAATTCAACTCCTAGGGGGATGGGGACGCCCCCCCCCCAATAGTTTGGAGGGAGATCAGAGGTCTGTCCCAGGAGTGGGGAACTGGCAAGAAACATCCCTCCCACACACACACACTTCACAGGTAGAAATTTTAGGTAGGATCCAACGCAATATTGGGCTAGATACAGGGATGTAACATAACAGTTTTGACTCCAGGTCCCTGTTTGGAGTTCACTTCTCCCTTGAGCAGAATCAAACCTGTGAATCTTTATTTTCATGCCACATTGTCTTTCCTCATGCCAAATTTTTCCTAGCAAATGGCTGCAATCTTTGCTGTCATTTGTACATCAAACTGCATATAAACAGCATATAAGGTACACTGGCAGTGAAAAATCTCACAACAGCATATAAAAATAAATGCAAAAAGTCATGCCTGGCTAAGTGGTGTGATCCAGCATGCGAAGTCCTTGTATTCTGATACAATCTGCTATGTATATTTAGTGAAGACACAAGTATTCCACTTACGTAAATAAGCCACATGAATTTCTAATAACCAGTTTTTTTAGGTATGGCCTTCATTGGCAGAACTGAGTGATTTCGGTGACATAGAGGATCCTTTTGCGTGTCATATTGTTTACACTTCTTTCTCCCTCTCCCTCTCTCTTTTTAAAGAGCCCGTGGTTGTGGAATACCAGGCAATGCTGGGTAGGATACCCTTTACAGGTAAGGGAGGGGCTACTATTTTGTATGAAAATGAATATAAGCTGTTTGAACTTGCTGCATAACTGAGAAAATTTCATGCTCTGTTGAAAAGCCTTGTCTGGTCTGTTGTTATTTTATAAGTATGAAAATGGTGGGTGCGGCACAGATTCCGAAGGGCATTTTTCTATAGAGGTTTGAGGCAGAAAGTCTCCCATGAATTTTGTGTAGAGTTTTGTCTCCACTGCGTTGCCTTTACTTGTTCTAAACTGTTTCTGCACACTTCGTCTGGTGCTAAATACTGCTGAAATAGAAAGGGGCGGAAGAGAGGAAATATTCTTTAGAATTCATATTCAAAATCCCACTTAGGGCATTAGCTCTCATGGATCCATTCCATTTATGGCAATGCCTTCTTCCCCAATGCAAAGAGCTGTTGATGATAATTATGTTAAGCCCTTAATTATGAGCCATTTCAGGAAGTTCTCAGGATTTCCATTTTTTAATGTTTCTATTTTTCATCACAAGGATTTTGTCTTTCCACTATAATTATAACAAAGCAGAAGAGTTATAAAGTGTCTGATCTTATTCAGTGGACCTTGGGGTTTCACAACTGTCTTAACTTTAACCACATCTGTCCTAGGAACTAATTGCTTATTTTGGAAGTGGTTTCTATGCTGCACCTTTTATCTTCATGCTTATAAAATACATTCCTGGTTTATCTACTAAGAGTGGAAATATCCTACACTTTATGAAGCATGTGATAAACTTTTAAAAGAGAATTGCAGGGCAGTTTTATACCTTCCTAAACCCATTGACTCCAGTGGAATTAAAAAGGTGTAACTCCTCTTAGATGTGAACTGTTGGAAGGCCGACAATGTGTGGCAATCATTCTTAGCCACAGGTCTCTCTGTACGGATTATAGTTTTAACTTAAGCTCATCTGGCTAATTTCTCATCATTGTTTGTGTTCCACAAGCATCCAAAACCCTGAAGAGAAAAACAAAAAGATAAGTATCTTTTGATCTAGGCAATTCCAGACATGTATGAGCAATTCTTTCCATATATGGAGATACATTTCTATCAAACATCCACCCTTCCTCCACCTCCAGTCCTTAAGATACACATAGCTTGCACTGAAATAGCTGCAATGGTATTCTGAGTACCAAGGTCAGCAGTATATATGGATTGTTTTGGTGGTAATCTCAGCAAGTGTATTGGATTTTTTTAAAAAAATTACTAGTTTCCACATATCTGTTAACAATGGGATATTGAGAATGGCTGATCTTGTCCACAGCCAGCACAGCGTACTGGTTAGAATGTTGGTTTAGGAACTGGGAGACCCAGCTTTGAATCCCACTCTCTGCCATGGAAGCTCACTGGGTGACCTTGGGCCAGTCACACACTCTCACCCTAACCTATCGCCCTGGTGGTGAGATGGTCATTGTGAAGATAAAGTGGAGAATGGGGATTGCTTTGAGTCCCTACTGGGGGGGGGGGGAAGTGGGGCCTAAATATCTAAATGCATAATTTCATCTGCTGTTCATCATCAGTCTTCTGTGCAGTCTCACACTGGGGCTGCGCATGAGTAGGCCTGCCTCAGAGAAGTTATATAGCTAAAAACCACCAGAAGGCGCTGTCCGCCAAAGCCGGATGGAACCGTTCTCACCCAAACGGTCGTGTGCTCCTGCATGCCAGCGCCCGCCATTCCCTCAGTTCCTCTTCTGCCGCCGAAAGAAAATGTTGTCTTCAGCGACTCACCCTTGCATCGCAGTGCTGTTGGTCTCTGAACACTGTGGCGCCTAGAGTGGATTATTCAGACCCTCTTCTTGCAGTCAGGGCTTGGGGAAAGCCTCTCTGAAGCACTTCCCCACTTCTGCATTACTCCCTCCCCCATTTCCATCATGGAGGTTCAAGAGAGTAGCATGTCTCAAAAGGCGCTGTTCAAGAAATGTACCCTCTGCACCACGAAAATGACTCAGGCAGATGAGCATGAACTGACCGGCTCTTTGGGAGAAGGCTCTCCTGTCATCCAATGCACTGTCGAAACCAGCCTTGATTCCAGAGTGCCCGTCGAAACTGTCTTTGTCGGCATTGGTCCTTCACGGCAACAATATGTTGTCCAGAAAACCTTCTCTCTTCAGCAGGGTTACAATAGGAGTTCCGCAAGGTCCAGTCAGGGCCATTAGGTCCAATCATCTAAGGATCCTCAGCTTACCCGGTAGAAGCCAGGTTTCTGAGTAAACTTGGCCTGATCAACTGTTAAATTTGGTGACTGGTTATCACAGTTTGACTTAGAGTGGGAGACCATCTCATCTGACAATTGGGTTCTCCCTATGGTTCGCCAAGGTTACAGATTGGAGTTTGTGGACCTACCACCCTGCCAACCTGCCATCAGGTTAATTGACAACAGTTAGAGTCACAGCTGCAGCCTCTCCTTAGTAAAGGGACAATTGAGAGGGTACCTGAACCAGACTCCCCTACGGACTCCCCTATTCCCATTTCTTCCTCATCAGTAAAAAGGACGGAGGGAATGGGCCCATTTTAGACCTCCATGATTTACACCGTTTCCTATTGGTTTCCAAGTTTCAGATGGTGTCTTTGATGGCACTCTTACAGTTATTGGAGATTAACTTGTGGTTTGTAGTGCTCAATTTAAACGGCGCTTACCTCCACATCTCCATTCATCTGAATCATTGCAGATATCTGCGCTTCCAATGTGGTGGGGAGGTCTGCCAGTATACAGTCCTTCCATTTGGTCTCACAACAGCCCCTAAGGTCTTTACAAAGTGCACAGCCCCTGTGTTTGCCCACTTGAGGATCTTAGAGGGTACAGTCTTCTCTTATCTGGATGACTGGCTGTCAGTGGCTCAGTCCAGAGAAGCCCTATTGTCTCACTTGTCATTGGTCCTTGAGATGTGCATGTAGCTAGGCCTCATTATTAACTGGGGTAAGTCCAGACTTATTTCCGCCCAAAACATCTACTTTTATAGGGGCAATCCTGGATTCTGTCTCCGCCAAGGGTTCCTTGTCTCCTGACTGTGTTAAAACCATACAGACCTTGGTCATTCTTGCAAAATCACTTCCAAGCTATAGGGGCCAGGAGTCATTTCCTGTAGGAGCACACAGGAGTGGCGCTTTGGCAGTAAAGAGACCAGAGGGCGGGCACATGCAACAAGCCCCACCCCCTGCTCCCAGCAGCCCTCAGTCAGAGCAAGAAGCAGCCAGGTAAGTTGCAGAGCCCTCCCCAGCCCCCCCCCTCCGGTCCAAAACAGTCCAGTGGCACCCTTTAAGACCAAGTTTTATTCAGGTACAAGCTCTCTCTCCTCTGCAAGGACAGATCTGCATGTTCCCCCCCCCCAATAGCTAGCAATCCAAAAGTCCAGTGGAGCCTGAGCAGTGGGTGTTGCCTTCTGACACACTTCCGGTGATGCCAGGGGGTGTGGCATATGCAAATAAGTTATGCTAATGAGTTATGCTAATGAGCTCCTGCACCTCTTTTTCTACTAAATGACCCCTAGTAGTGGCCATACGACACCTACTGGGTCTGATGGCTTCTACTACTGCAGTCGTTCCCTTTGCCAGACTAGCCATGCACCTGTTACAACTTTGGTTCCTTTTCCAATTTAGGCCGACTTTACACCCACATCATCAGAAGTTCTGTATCCCTAGGTCAGTGATTAGGTCCCTATTACGGTGGACCCTTATGCATCATCAAGTTTGGGGTATCCCAAGTGATGCCTCTCTGATGGGTCGGGGTGCACACTGCAATGGGCTTTTGGTCCAGGGTTGTTGGTCACAGAGAGAAAGTGTGCTTCATATCAATGTTTTGGGGCTAAGAGTGGTACACAATGCACTTATCTCCCTTTCAGATATCCTTGTTGGCCAGTCTGTACTGGTACAAATGTATAGTTCAACGATGATATTCTGTTTAAACAAACCAGGTGGGATCACCTCCAATTGCACCAATTGCATCCTCATAGTCCCACTCTGATTACACCAGATTTTGTTTTCTGTCTTGATGGACCTGGCATGGGGACAATGTATTCACCTGCCCAACAACCTGGATCTACTAAACATTGGGCCCCTATGCCATCACAATATCGTCCATCTTCATTTGGCAGCCTGGAGGCTTCTGGCCAGGGCTGCGTTTTTGGATGAGATTAACAAAGTTCTTCTACACTCTCGGTAGCCATCTACCAGACAGTCCTGCCTCCTGAAATGGAAATGTTTCTTCACCTGGTGTGAGGGCAGGGTTGTGCTCCTGAGGTGCCTTTGGCCCCCTCCCCCTTTTTTTTTTAGTATTTGCTCTCCCTTAAGTCGACAGGCTTGGTCTATTCTTCAACTGAGGTCCACTTAGCAGTCATTTCCTATCACCACCCAGGAATGGATGGGATTGCAGTTTTCTCACAGTAAGTGCTTCCTAAAGGGCTTATTCAACATGTATCCCCCTAGAGCTCCGATGGTTCCCCAGTGGTGCTCTCTAGGTTAATGCTGAGGCCTTTTGAGCCCCTTACCACTTGTGTTCATTACCCTTGTATCCATGAAGATCTGCTTTTTGGTAGCCATCACTTCAGTGAGACAAGTTCGTGAGCTGGCTGCCCTCAGGATGGATCCCTTTTGCTCAGTTTTTTCACAGACAGGGTGGTTCTAAGACCTAGGATTCATTTCCTGCCTAAGGTGGTATCTGAGTTTCTTCTGTTCCAAAAGGTAATTCTACCAGTGTTTTTTTTTCCCTCCACCCAATTCAGAAAGTGAAAGAAAACCACACGCCATGCACCTCGGCGTCTAGTCATGCCAGCCACATGACCACGGAAATGTCTTTGGACAGCACTGGCTCTTTGGCTTGGAAACGGAGATGAGCACCGCAACCCTAGAGTCAGATTCGACTAGCTTTCGAGCAAGGGAAACCTTTACCTTTTACCTTGTTATTTTATCTGCAAAGATCTAAGGAATTTAGGAGTGGCATAGCTCTCTTTGTGTGTTACACAGGGCCCAACAAAGTAATTGTCCAGATGGATTGTCTCTACCATCAAGATGTGTTATGCCCAGGCGGGGTTACCTTGCCCATTGGAGGCCCATGCACACTCAACGAGGGCTCAGGCATCTTCAAGGGCCTTCCTACACAGGATTTCCTTAGCAGAAATCTATACAGCGGTGCCCTGGTCCGTGGCTGACACATCTGTCATTACACTGCTCAACCTGCAAGCAAGAAGAGAGGCTCAAGTGGGAAAAGCAGCCCCTCAGTTGCTCTTCAAATGAGCCATGGTGAGCTACACCCCGCCACTGGTGCTAGAATCCCAATGTGGGACTGCACAGAAGATCGATGATGAAAGACAGAGTTGTATTGACCTGTAACTGTTGTTCATTGAGTATCTTCCGTGCAGGCACACGTTCCCTCCCTCCTGCCCCTTTGTGAGCTCTTTTGTTTCACTTCAGCAGCAGCATAAGAGGGAATGGGGGCACTGGTGCAGAGCAGGTGACTGTTTGGGCGGGAATGGTTCCATCCGGCTCCAGCAAGCAGCACCCCCTGGTGGTTTTTAGGTGTATAACCTCTAAAGCAGGCCTGCTCATACACAGTCCCAGCGTGTGCCTGCACAAAAGATACTCAATGAACCACAGTTACAGGTGAGTGCAACAGTGTTTTTTCCTGCTCACAGGTAACATTGAAATGATCCTTCTATTGAAGTCCCAATTCTTGACTGGCATACTACCAAATTTCAGACATGCATGTTGGCACTCACCCTGTTATGGCTCTTTCTTTTACGTGCCTGTGTCAGAAGGGCAGAAGGAAGGAAAGGAAGGACTAAAGCTGAGTTCTCAGCCTGTCTGTGCATTAAATATGTGTTTAAAAATTCACAAGCGTGTCCAAGTTGTGTGTCCTAGATTCTTTTATTAGAACCATGCAAATATGCACTCGGTAACTGCCAGCCAAGCTGTAGGTTTGGAAAGTCTTTGTTGAATCTTTAAATAAAATACAAAACTCGTTTTAAAATCATAATGAGAATGAAAGGCTGAAAAACGATTACATTCATGTTACTGTTGAGATACAATGCGCTTAGGAAAGATGGAGCGCTGTAGATTAATAGATTTTGAAGTAAGAAAAAGACTATTTTGTCCAGCGGTCTCGGCCCTCCCGACCTCCTCATTCTAGCCTGCAGTCAGTGTTCCCTCTAAGCTGAGTTAGTGTGAGCTGGCTCACAGCTTTTTAGCCTCTGGCTCACACATTTTTGTCTTGGCTCAGGAAGGATGGCTCCAGAGCAAACTAATTTATGCAATAGCCAAATCGCTCACTCACAACTTTAATGCCAGTAGCTCACAAAGTGGAATTTTTGCTCACAAGACTCCACAGCTTAGAGGGAGCATTGCCTGCAGTGTGCCAGAATTGGGGAGCAGTGACGTGTTCTAGCTCAAGATTATTCAGAGACAGCTTTAAAAGATGGCTTTAAAAGGAGATTAGACAGATTTGTCGCGGTCATGTTCATCCATAGCTACTGAATTCAGAGGCAGTAAACCTCTGAATAACAGCGCTAGGAGGCAACATCAGTGGGAGGCCTTGGCCACTGTGCCCCGGTTGTTGACCTCTCAAAGCAAATGTTAACTACAGCATGAAACAGGATGCTGGACTTTATGGCCCACTGGTCTGATCGATCAGGGCTCTTCTGATGTTCCCAACATGATCTTAGCAAGTGAAGCCATGGGGTTCCTCGTACCACTAGGCAATGAAACATTTCACTCTCATGGCCATGCTTATTTCCTAGACAAATAAACGGCTCATAACTAGGTTTACCTTAACTGTTGGAGATGATTAAAGCCGCGCATGGGTAACTTTGGGCCAGCTCTTCATTTCCAGGTGTTGTTGAGCAACTCTCTCTTTGTCTCTGTTTACTGTACTCCATCCTTTGTGAATGAAGCTCACTTGTGTTATGGAGAAGAACAGTTAGATTTGAGTCCAGTAGCACCTTAGAGACCAGCTAGAGTTTGAGGTTGTAAGCTTTCAAGAGTCAAAGCTGCCATCGGCAGACTGTCTGACGAACAGTACACAGAATGCCCGATGAAAGGAGTGTTTCTGACCAAGGGAGCTTTGACTCTCGAAAGCTGAAACTCTCGTCAATCTCTAAGGTGCTGCTGGACCCAAATCTAACTGTTCTACTGCAGACCAATATGGCGACCCCGTGGAACTGTGTTAATGGAGTCTTCACCTTCTTGACAAGCGAAGATAACCTGATTGCTGTGAGCGGTGAATGCATATGAGATGATAAAAACTGGTCCCACTCCTTAATCTTGTTTCTGTGTGCTGAAAATGTCCCCCCCCCCCGGTATGTAGTACATGGTACCCTGACAATTCAACGAAGGCATGTATCATTAGTATCTAATGTTAAAGAAACAAGAAGGTAGGTATTGTAAGGAAGGCCCTTCCAATGTGGGAGAGGAACCCACTCAAAATATTCCATGGATGGTCTGTGGGTTTTGTTCTTTTTCCAGTGAATATCTGAGTTCTTTGCAAGTTAACTGTTGGCTAACCTCTTCAATCTTTTCCTATTGCCTTTCAGCCGTTGACACCTGAGCTTCATTATTACTACATAGTTGAGCTATCATTCTATTGGTCCTTAATGTTTTCTCAGTTCATTGACATCAAAAGAAAGGTAAGAACCACCAGTGTTTTAAACTGTGAAAGTAAACGTTGGCTAACCCTTGAAGGAACAGATGAGTTAGCTTGGATACTTGAATTAGCAAGATCTTGTTTGTAGGGCTGCAAAGTCCTGCAGGGTTTTGCTCTAGAGGTATCTGTGAGCGCCTTCGGGCAGCGAGAGGTGCTTGCTTTGATGGAACAGCCATAAAGAATGTCTGCAACATTGACCTTTGGCTAATACCTGGTCTCCTTGTAGGCTGTGTCCTTGCAGGAAAGCGTTTGCCCTTGGCGTGGCATTAGAATGCCAAAGAAGAGAGCGAAGGGACTATTTGCAGGGTTGGGGTGCTTTGCAGTTATCTCCAGTTGACAGCAGTCAAATTCTGCATGAAGTCATAAGTGCCCTTGGTTAATGACTGGTTAATTGCAGCCTTCCTGTCTTTATTGCATCTTGGTGTTGGCAGACAGCAGTGACAGGAATAACTGGTGTGTTCTCCAGATCTGTGGAACTCAAGTTAATACCACATTTAACACCCTTTGTTTAAGAACTGACATACCGTGAATTTTTTTTCTTCCACTTGTGGCCTCACTTATTCTGTGTCAACACCAGCTCAAGAAGAGCAGCTTATCCTGGCTGACTCGTGGGGGGGGGAGGTTTCCTAGACATTTCGCTGCAAACATGCCCCCATTTGGTCTAGATGTTCTGCTTTGTCATGAAAACACTGAGGCACAAGGCCATGGCTCAGGTCGCACCATGTCATGTTTTGTGTCCCCTAATCCAGGGAAAGTATGAGCGTTGGAGAGGTGCCCTCCCAGGCTTCAAACAGTAGAAGCAGAGGTCATTCCGTAGAAAAAGAGCTAGGGGAACTAATTAGCATAACTCATCAGCATATGCCACACCCCCTGACATCAGGGGCCCGGCGGTGGACCTGCAAGGCCGGCGGGAGTGCGAGGAAGCCCCGCCAAGGCCCTCCCTGGCCCCAGGCAGGCAGGGGTGGGGAGAGGCGGGGAGGAAGCAACTTACCCTCCCTCTTCTCCTGCCTCCTCCTGGCTGAATGAGGGCCGGAAGCGGGGCGGCCGGAAGCAGGGGGTGGGGCTTCATCGTGTGCACCGCCCCCCGCACCTCTCCCGGGGGAACCGCGATCCCCCACGTTCCCCCCTGAAATGACCTCTGAGTGGAAGGCCCAACTTCCTGATACCTTGCTTTTTGCCACTTCGGTAGCAGGAGGGGGGAAAGGAGGAAGACATAAAATGTGGGCATCCTGGCTTGTTTACTGGTGCTGCACTAACACACTCCCCAGCTGCAGAGATGTCTGGCCAGAAGAGCTCAAAATCAAAACCTCAGTTTGCCTTTCCCCAGTCAGCTAGTCAGTGAAGCCAGTGTTTGTGAAGGGAAGCGAAGAACTGAATAATAGTTCCTGATCCAAATCATGGTTTCACAAATGAGCCATAATTAATTTTATGTTACATTTGAACTGAGCAATTTCTTTACTCGGACCCCCACCCAAGCCCATCCCCCACTCTCCCTGCACAGTTCAAATCTCTTACAGTCCACATTCCTTCCCAGAGCCTGTACGTAAAAGCCTATTCAGTCTGACAGCTAGAGCTGCCAGGTCTCCTGGACTGGTAAACAGCAAAATACAACCCTCCTGTAATAACTATATCTTTGTATTATCAAAGCTTAGCGCCACTCCTTCACCTTTTCACAATCAGCCTCCTGGACTGGCAGGCCACCTCCCACCAACAATCCTCTTCACCTGTCACTGCTCAGTGGGCTGGCAGGAGGAAGATGGGAAGTCCCCGACGCCAGTGATGCAGCAACATCACTTCCAGCATGACCGAGAAGTGATGTCGCCGTGCAGGGGCAATGCTGTTGCATTCTCCCAAAACTCTGTGGTTAAGCCATAGGGCTTGAGATGAATGCAAGAGTGTTGCCCCCTACGTGGTGACATCACACTGTCGTCAGAAAGCCCCCTCCGCACTGGTAAGACTCCCACAGGCTTCCTTCTAACAACACAGTCTGTCTTCCTTAATCTGGAATAACACGCTGGAGACAGGAGGGCTCAGCCTCCTCCCTGGGTCTCAAGAAGCTGTCAGTCGGCTTTGAAAATCCCGCCTTATTGGGATCAGTTGAGAAAGTTTTGTCTACAAGTCTGGATTATGTTCCAGCTGAGGGAGAGGAGGTATCGAATGGTATGCAGCATGGTTGTCACCCATGAATGGGAGTGATTCACCCTATAAAAATGAGAGGCCACAGAGATGTGCTCACCGGGCTGTTTATCCGAATAGCAAATTCCTGACATGAAAACAGCTTCCAATGGGACTGACTGCTGATTCTCAGAATCCGCTTTCAGTTATTGGTGGGGGTATAAATTCCATTAGATTATCTCTGCCTGACCGAAGATTAATGAGCAATAGCTGCAGCCCAATGCATATTATCAGCTCAGCAATCAGCGAACGTCACACGACCAAGTAGAGAAACTTTATAGCTGTTCACAATGGTGTGATGTGTACCTGATCCGCTTTCTAAATATTAGGGCATGTGGTTGCCCCAGAGTTGATGTGCTGCGTGCTTGGGTTTGCTTCTTTTTTCTTTTTTTTTGTACTATACCTACCTTTTGCCCCTAGATTGCACTTTCTAGAGTACAGAAATCATTAGGGGGGGGGGGTTTAAAGGGCAAAGAAGCTTATGTCTGTCCCAGAATATCATTTGCTTTACAATCAGTCAAATTTATGTATGGATTTCCTGGGTCTGGGTGAGATGGCAGCTGGCGTTTTAGAAAGTGGTGCTATTTCGAGGTCAGTATGTAACAGATCTTGGGAAATGTCCTCTTCCCTATTGGTTTTTTTTTTTGAAATGTTTTTTAGAAGTTAGAGAAGTGGAGGGAGGGGTGAAGTTAGATTATGCGCAGCACACTAATGCACTCTAAACAGAGGTCTTGACTGCGTCATGATAGCCTGCACTTAACCGTAGCTTCTAATTATCCTGTGCAGTCTGGTTTCTCAGTGTTTTTCCTGAAAAAGCATTCTGGCGCAGTGGTCTAGCTGACTCTGGGGACCGTAGGCAGATCAAAGCAGAGTGATTCTGCTGTCCTCGGAGGAAAGCGATTCGGTCTGGGCTAATGCATAGCGGAAGAAATGTTTAAGTTGGGGGGAATCCCAAGCATATAGAGAATCTCTGTAACAAACGTCCTCTGGCATTTGCATGCATTCCCTCCACCTCATAGATTACCAGCGTTCCTTATAACCGTATGACCTTAGGTTGTTATTTAGTTGTTGACCTTATAACCTTACCTTGCTGTTTAGTTTCCTCTTGCATCTCTTAAGACATCTTTGTGGTGTTACATGTTACTTTGCTGTTCAGCCCCTGTCTATAAGTTTCAACCTTACCTTCCATTCCAATGCATTTTCAAAAGTGTGCACACGCGTGAAAACTCATACTTTGAATAAAACTTTGTTGGTCTTAAAGGTGTGCCACTGGACGCTAAATTTGTCCTACACGGCATTCTTTCCGTTTCTGTATTTTCGTCCACAAGGGGGCAGTATTAAAATGGCTCCACACATTGAATTTCACAGCAAGGTGGTAAGCCAGCTGCTTCCAGAACGCCCAGGCTCACCACCACCCCACTAAGAAATGTTTGAAACACCATCACGAAATAGGTAACAGTATAGTACAGGGTATGGCCAGTACTGATCATGCAAGTAGCTAAGACAGGCCTCTCAAGATACTGGGTATTTAAATATTTGGGCTGTTACTCCTCAGAAAAGCTACTTGATGAGGCCTGAAAAATACAGAATATTGTGCAGGCAGCTGAGAGTCTCTGAAAGGGGATGTGGGAAATTACCCAGAGGAGCCATAGACTCCTGAAGGTTTATCCTGTTGGCTGTTCCATGCAGGCCCTTAGATTATCTCTGCTCGTAGTAACCTTCAAGTAGGGAAGTGAAACAGGTGTACCCACTAGGGTTGCCAACTCGAGGTTGGGAGATTCCTGGAGATTTGGGGATGGTGACTGGGCAGGGTGGGGTTTGGAGAGGGGGGAGACCTCAGAGGAGTGTAAAGCCATTGAGTCTACCATCCTAAGAAGCCATTCTGCTCCAGGGGAACTGATCTCTGTAATCTAGAGATCAGTTGTAATTTTGGGAGTTCTCCAGGCCCTGCCTGGAGGATGGCAGCCCTAGTACCCACAGACAATACAGAGGTTTCTGTGTACTTGGGGGTGGGACTCCTTCGGTCTGCAACAAAATAGTACTTTTTTAATCTAAAAAGAAGCCACAGGAGAAAACAAAATTAACAACACCCTGACGTGCCATTGCTCTCCAGGTGGCAGTTGGGGGTTAGGTAGAGAAGGGGGTGGGGAGGATTGTTCTGTGCAAGCCCCTGAGACCTTATGATGACCTTGAAGACATGCACATATTTCCCCTTTCCAAATCCTCACATAAAAATAGATGGGTACCTTCTTCTTCAGGTAACCTTTTTTTCGTGTATGAAGTTGCATCTGACTTATGGTGACTCCATAGGGTTTTCAAGGCAAGAGAGACTCAGAGGTGGTTTTGTTTGGTGTAGTGGTTAAGTGTGCGGACTCTAATCTGGGAGAACCGGGGTTGATTCCCCACTCCTCCACTTGCACCTGGCTGGATGGCCTTGGGCAAGCTGTAGCTCTGATAAGAGCTGTCCTTGAAAAAGAGCCATTTCCGTCAAGAGCTCTCTCAGCCCCACCTTCCTCGCAGGGTGTCTGTTGTGGGGAGGGGAAGGGAAAGGAGTTTGTAAGCCGCTCTGAGACACCTTTGGGTAGTGAAGGGTGGCGTATAAATCCAATCTCTTCTCTTCTTCTTCTTCTTCTTTTGCCATTGCCTGCCTCTGGTATTCCTAGGTGATCTCCAGTGCTCTCTAAGCTGAGTTAGTGTGAGCTAGCTCACAGTTCTTTAGCCTCCGGCTCACACATTTTTGTCTTAGTTCAGGAAGGAAGGCTCCAGAGCAAACTAATTTATGCAGTAGCCAAATTGCACGTTCACAATTTTAATGCCAGTAGCTCACAAAGTAGAATTCTTGCTCACAAGACTCCACAGCTTAGAGGGAGCATTTGTCATCTCCCATCCAAATACTGACAAGGGTCAACCCTGCTTAGCTTTTGAGATCTGACAAGATCAGGCTAGGCTGGGCTATCCAGGGCGGGGCCAGCAGTCGCTAGTATAATTATTCTAGAGCATTTACTGAAGATCAGGACTCTCAGAGGAGAAAGCTGTTTGCTTCCCAGAGTTCAGCAGTCCTGTGCTATTGGACAGGAATTCCCAGCTGTTCGTTTTATTTCCCTTCCCCACAGTTCCTCACGTGCCACCATATTCCCAACCATACCATCCACTTAGATTGTATTAGATGTGGACATGAATTATCATATAGTACAAGAACCTATTTGATTCAGTTTGTGACTGTTTTTTGTTGGATATCCCGGGAAGTTGTCCACCCTTTTTTTTTGCCGGGGGGGGGGGGGGTATTGCATTTTCCCTACCATGAACGTTTCAGACACTGAGCTGGATTTGGAGCCAGAAAGATACTGTTAATGCTGTTCAGCAGATATAATTTGCAAGAGTTTGCAGTTGTACAGAAGTTCATGCAGAATTACAACGGCGGCATGCCTCCTGGCCAAGCATTCCTTCATTGGCCTGGTCTTGGTTAATCGTCCAGGATGCCTGGCTTAACGTGGGGTAGGAAATAGTCGCCCGATGGGTGGAGAGAATCTCTGTATGTGTTTGCATGAAAGGCCCATCATAACTGAGAGAAGATAATGCCTCTCCTCAGTTGAAGGAGAGAGGGCAGAAAGGTGAGGCTGAGAAACAGTTTGAAACAAAGAAGCAGAGCTGAGAAGTTCTAGCTGGAGTTAGTTGGAATATTTCAGATTTCAGAAGCTAAGCAGGGTCGGCTCTGGACAGTATTTGGAAGGGAGACCACCAAGGAATGCCAGGGTCACGACACAGAGGCAGGCAGTGGCAAACCACTTCTGAACATCTCTTGCCTTGGAAACCCTATAGGGTCACCATAAGTTGGCTGCAACCTGGCAGCACTTTCCACCACCAAACTTTGTATTAATATAGGTATTTCCTGAATTGCTCAAGAAAGGGAAGGCTGAAGGAACAAAGAATGAAAAACTCTAGACGTTAACGGATGTGAAACTGAAAAGGTTTTTTTTAAGTATTCCCTACCCCTGCTAAATTTGCTCTCTTGATTCAGACTGATTATCTGTGGGCTTAATTGCCATTCGCAGTCAAAAAACAAAATGCAACATCTAACAGGAGAAGGATCAAAGACAAAATATGATTGCGGATGCCTTGGAGGGGACTCTTTTTCCAGTATATTCGTTGATCCAATAGGGGTAGATTTCATCCTCAAACGGATGGTGTTAAATATAAGGTGTGTGGGGAGGGGTTGTCTCTATACTGAGCTCATTGAACTGCTTGAAATGGGAAATAGTATTTCTTTTTTAAAGTGAAGGTGGGATTACGGTTCCTTGGCATTAACCAAATGAAGGCAAATGGGAGATTAAATGTAGATTATCTGCATATCCCTGTAAGTGGCTGTGCGTGTGGTTATGCAATGCACATGAGTTGGTCAGCAAAGATGGTGATAGTTAATGATAATCTCCCTGGGACAGCATTGAATGGGGGAAGGCTAGCTTCAGTTCGTCAGTGTCGTCATCTCGAAATGGTTGTTCCCAGAATTTGTCTAGCTTTCAAATACCTTGTTCAAGCATGCAGGTTCATCACTTGGGAACCGCAACATCATGTGCATAATGATGTGCACTGGGGAGATGCTCGTACGTGGCAGCGAAGTGTCTGCGCATCCTTCCCAACAACCACCACTTATCCTCCGCTGTTAACGCTCCTCCCTTCCCCCCTGCTGCTGCTTAGCATGCTGGCCACAAACACAGAACTGGCAATCTGATGTCTCTTAACAAAGGTGTATTTGTGGCCTGACTCTGGAACAAAACTCTCACTAAAAGTTACATAGTATGCATGTCCAAATCTGTCTTTGAGGATGAATGTGTTATTTTAGATTTTACTGTATTTTGCATGCAGTTTTGATACCACTCATTCTCTGGGGTGGGATCCCTAGAAATAATTTTTATGACATTTATTTATTCATTCATTTCAGGTGTTATCTGGCCCTCTTTTCTCTCCAACAGGGGCCCAAAGCAGCTTACAGAAATGTAGTTTAAATGAACAACAGGAGGGAAAGTACAATAAACTACATTCTGGGCTGGTCCTGGATCCGCCAGTTGGCTTAGTCAAGGCCCCGGGCTAAGGGCCAAGACCCCTTTGGCTCTTGCCTTTCAGTTTGCACCAAAAGGTTTCTGCTTCTGGCCACACCCCGGCTTTTATACTTGCTCACAGGAAGGGAAACACAAGTTCAGCCCAGATGTTATGCAGCTGGCAGAGATGTTCCCAGACTTCCCTTCCCTGCTTCCGTTTTGTTTTGTGATGGCATTTTTGCTGCCTTCAGGTAAATCTGAGGCAAATAAAGGATTTGTGGTATCAAAATTCTTTGGCTGTTTTGTAAAAGGGTGATGGGATGGAGCAGTCTGGGGGAGCTATCTTAGTTGCAACAATATTTATACGCTTGCTTGATATGAACTAAGTTGATGCCAGTTAACTGTTTAAATTCTTTTTAATGTTTTCCTAGAATTAAGTCTTAAACAGTATCTCAGCAAATAGCTGGTGTTTGCTGCATGCTCCATTTCAAGGAATGATACAGAATTTGTAGAATCTTTGTTGTTTTCCTACTTTAACGTTGCAGTCCTTTTGTGGGAGGAAGTGCCACTGAACAACATGGGACTGAGGAGAAAACCTGCTTAGGACTGCTCCCCACATGTTGTAAAATGCTGGTTGATTTTGCATGGAAAAGTCATTTTTGTCTTTTCTCTGCTCCAGGACTTTGCTATCATGTTCACCCATCACATCATAGCGATTATTTTGCTCACCCTCTCGTACGTACTCAACTTCATCCGTGTGGGGGGCTTGATGATCTGTCTTCATGATTCAGTTGACGTTGTGCTGGAGGTAAGATACCTTTTGCAAAAGCTGATCATTCACACTGACTTCTGTCTTCTACGTGCTGTCCAAAAGGTCTTCCTAGAGCAAAGACGCTATCCTACAGTCAACTGTTCTCCACAAAAGCTGATTTTCCATTCAAGTTTGTCTCAAAGGCACTGCTTGACAATTCTGGAGTCCTGTGTGTGTTTACTCGGGAGTAAGTCTCATGAATAACAGGGGGACTTGCTTCTCAGTAAACATGCATAGCATTTTTCTGTGAGTCTTGGCATGTAGTTAAAATCCGATTCGGATATTGCAGTGTGTGGTAGCAAAAAAATGATTTATTTGATTTGCTTGATAAGTAATGATGGTGGTATTATCACAACTGTGAGAATTCATAGGAACCCTGGTTTTAACCGACTTTTATTTCCTTGTACCTTCATAGCTGTTGTCAAGTCACAACAAAAGCTTGCAAAACTCTAGAATGCCTTTATTCCATTTTGTAGCATACGACTTTCATTTTGCACAGTTTTCTCTGAAGTCATCGGTTGGACTTGGTTCTTCTCACTTCCTAGACTTGACATATAATTTAAAAAATCAAGACGAGACAATTCCTTAGGTTGTTTTGGAAGTGTGATGCTAGTTGTGCTTTGAGACTAACATACATTTAAGTAATGGCACTATTGTGGTGAATTAATATGTCTCTGAATATCTGAGGCAAGTGATTTCATTAGCACTCGTAGAGGAGGAGCATCAGAACGTTCAGTGCTGGGGAAATGGCAACTTTCTTCCATGTTTCCTTGACTTGGGGTTTGATTAGACAATACTTTAAACACAGCGCTCACCTTAAAAATAGTGTGGGAGGGAGGGTGGGGAATCAACTTCCCAGCACAGGCAGCAGCAAGAGGAACTTCATCATTCCTTCCCTTCCACCCTGCTTGCTTTCCCTAGCAGAAAAGACCATAGGGGGAGGGCTGTCTGTCTCATTGCCAGTTCTATGTGTCTGCCCAGTGACTGGTCACACACTCAATATGAGTCAAGTTGGGGTTTCCCCAAATCCAATCTTTTTAAAATGTGTTTTCTAATCAGACCCTTATTTGCAAGCCTGGATGTCCTACTCAGGGCTATTTTTGGGCAGGAACGCACAGGAATGGAGTTCTGGCTGGCTCCCAAGTTGGCCACGCCCAGCAGGAACTCATTAGCATAATAGGCCACACCCAACAGCAGAAACTCATTAGGATTGGCTACATTAGGGCTGTGTGGCCTAACATGCAAAGGGTTCCTGCTACAAAAAAGCCCTGGGTTTTGACAACAAGCAAGGTAAACAGAATAAGAAGCAAAAGGTGGGTGTGGCTGGATGACCACACTTCTGGTAACATGGGGATGTAGCCTAATATGTTAATGTGCTGTGCTGTCAGGGGTGTGGCCTAATATGCTAATGAATTTCTGGTGTTGGGTGTGGCCTATTATGCTAATGAGTTCCTGCTGGGCTTTTTCTACAAAAAGATCCCTGGTCATACTTGTAACTGCAGATACAGGCAGAAGAAAATCAGTGGCTTGTATCAGACTACTCCACTGGAAGTTTGAAACCTTCCTCCAATTGAGGTGGTTTTTCCTCCAGCAGGAGGAGGGCATCAAACTTGGCTGAGTGAATGGTGAGATTCAAGCCAGTATCTGGAAGAAGTATCAAAATGTTCCAAACCTGGATCATGTAATTCATTTAGTGGTACAGGCCAATGTGCTCTCAGGGCTGCATCTTTTTCTTTTCTTTTTCATTTTTTCTTTTTTTTATTATAAGGGATACAGAAAAAAAGAAGGAATAGGGGGAAAAGATAGAAAATATAATTACCAAAAAACCTAGTGTGAAGTCAATTTTAAAGAGACTGAGGACATTTCTTTTTCAAAATATATATGTATATGTAAAGAAGTATATGGTATAATAGCTTAACAAATGGTGTATGGTGTAATAGCATAAGAATATAGCTTACAAAATATATGACCTATTAAGAACTCTATATAATGACCTACTCATTCTACCAATTTTTCATACTATATTTTCATTTTTTTCTTATCTAATTGATATAGCATAACATCGATAACATCAGAGAAATTTTTATAAGACTTCACACAACAGTTTGTTTTGATAAACAAGTTTGTTATAAATAAACAACACATACTATTTTCATTTCATACTAAAACTGTCTTATAATATCATTTACTATTAAACCTTTCTGATATATAACTAAAGAGATTAGTTATAACAGTAGTAGAAAATGTGCCAGTTGTTTTTGAATCCGTCTTTTGGTCTTTGGTTAACGTAGTTTGTCAGTTTTGCCATAACTGCATATTCTTGCATCTTGGGGGCTGCATCTTTTCCCAAGGAACTTCATAGAATCCCCTGTTTGCTTTCAAGTCGCCCTGCCCGCACAGTACAGCGAATGAAGAAATCTGCATCAGGGAGAAAAAATATCAGTCTTACCAGTATATATCAGACACTGAAAAACTGAAGAGCTCTTCTGATTAAGGAGTATTGTTCAGCACTGAATGCTTTCTACAGAGAGAGAAAGCGTCTGAAGTGATTGGTGTGGGGTGAACAAGGAGAAAATGGTAGAATGAGCACTCAGAAGGGCATTAAAGGAGAGCGGGAAACAGAAGCAGTGTTGACAACAGCCAGCTAAAAAGGGAAAGAAGAGCAATGACAGAAGCCAAAACCAGAAATCAAGCAAAGAAGGACCAGAAAGCCAGAGGGATGGAAGTTTCTCTCTGCAGCATGGATTGCTGGGGAATTCAAGTGCAGCTAAGGAAGGAACAGCTCACGCACACAGGCACATATGCAGCAGCCAGTTGTTGTTTTTTTAATGGCAAAGGGGGCCAGAACGATAAGGAGCAAGTCAAAGATGGAAGGTCCTAGGTGTGTTTACCCCAAAAGTTCAATGGGACTTAATTTTTGAAAGGCTCAAGAATCGAACTTTTGGCTAAACACACTCAGGATTCGGCTGCTTGAGAGAGATACAGAGAAAATATCGAAGAGGCAAATTTTGAATTATTGATAGTACAGTCCTAAGTGGCTTTGTGTGTGCGTTCAGTGCTGTTAAGTCATTTCCAACTTACGATGACCCTTATGAATGAATGTCCTCCAAAACATCCTATCATTAACAGCCTTGCCCAAGTCCTGCCACCTGAGGGCTGTGGCTTCCTTGACTGAGTCAATCCATCTCATGGCTTTATATCCTTCTAAAATCCATCACTCTGCTTAGGATGGCACTATAAAATGTGGAAATGCAACAGAGGAATGAGGGGTTGGATCCAGACTAAATAGACAGTTTCTACTAGCCTAGGCTAGCCCCATCTTAGAAGTTAAGCAGGGTCATGCCTGGTCAGTATTTGGAAGGGAAACCACCAAGGATTACCAGGGTTGTGATGCAGAGGCAGGCAATGGCAAACTGTCAGCTGGGTCCAGACCTGATACCCACCCTGGCAAGAAGCTTCCTGCCCCGACTCCAGACCTTTGCGGGTGGACCCCGGGCAGCTGTGCTGGGGGGGCTGTGACTATGCCATAGGCTCCCCAGGGGTCCCTTACCTCCGCCCCAGACAGCAACGAAGGAGGCTGGAGCAAACGGCCCATGGGAGCCAAAGATGGAAACAGGCGGCAGGAGACCCAACCGGGCTGTCCCGGGCAGCCTGCCAATCCTGGAAGCGGGTTGGAAAGCCTGGGGGCCGCTAAGACAGGGGGCCTGGGGACCTCTGCTGAGTCCTTGGTGGCCCTCTTTCAGAGGCTTTTCACAGCGAGATACAGCGGGGCCGGCAGGAAAGGCAGACAGTGTGCTGCTCACTGGGTGGGCTCGACCCATTCCGAGGGCTGGATTGAGTAGGGCAGAGCCAACCAGCTTCGGTCTGGCCAACCAACCAGGGGCTTAAGCCTGGCCCCAACAGGCAGGACAACGAGCCAATGGGAAGGACCAGGGAGGGAAGTGAGTGGGTGGCAGGGAGGGATAAAAGGGAGGCTTCCAGGAAAGGGATGATGAGCCTCTGCTGTCTCCATGACGAGATAGCAGAGGAAGGAGGCTGTGGGTGGTATAAACCCCCTCCTCTCCCTGAATCTGAGACCTGGGGAGAGGTCTCGCCACCCAGGATGAACAGGGCAATCCTGACACAAACCCTCCTCTGACTGTCTCTCGCCTAGAAAACCTCGTGGGGTCACCATAAGTCCGCTGTGACTTGATGGCCAAAAGAAAACTGATTTCTACCTTTCGTGCAGCAGACCTCCTTTGTGTCATTTGTCATGGTACCCTACTTCACAGGAACATGAGATCAGTGGGCTGCAATGGGAGGGGAGAGGCAGGAAAGTTCTGTTCTGCAGCTGGATCCAACCCTAAGATCTGAATTGATTTTGGCCTAAGATTCTGCAGCTCAGCAGAAGAAGTGAGTGAGCAGGGTGTTTTCTGTCAGTCAGCTTGGCCTTTCACCTGGTTCCCTACTAACTTGGACTGAGTCAACAGGCACCCATTCTGGAGCTTTCCAGAAGGAAAGGGAGAGGGAACCAGGCCCCTTCCATTGGCCCAGAGCCACTCCGCAGAAGAAGGGAGAGTACTACTGCGAGGCACTGTCCATTGGCTTTTCCCCATCAACTCATGTAGATTGATGTTTTTAATTATTGTTTTTGGTTTCATTATAAGTCACCTTGTATGTTTTCAAATGGAAGGGAACATTACATATAAATCCCAAACAAATAAAATGGAATATTCAGTATGGGTAGTTGAAAAACCTTTATTGTTCCCTTTTTCGGAGGAATAAAACAACATATAGCTTGTGGCAATGTAAACAGTTAAACAAGAGTGCTAGGATTACTCATAACATGTTGGAAAAGAACACTGACACACAACACATATGGGTAGTTGGAAAAGTTGAGGAGGTGATGTTGGATAGGATAAAATTTCATCTCTACACGTCATCTCTACGTGCCCATTCATACGAGGAGCAGGATTAATTTTGCTGGTCTGTTTTGTGCCAGGAACCACGGCTTGGCTCATTTCTGTGAAGGAGATAACATCTGTTCTTTCCTTGTTATAGGCAGCCAAATTGATGAACTACTGCAAGTGTCAAAGACTGTGCGATGTCCTTTTCCTCATGTTTGCGATTATTTTCATTATCACAAGACTTGGACTATATCCTTTCTGGTGAGTAAATACGTCCCTTCCCTGCAATTATAAACCTGTCAAGTAGCTTACTGTGTCCTTCTGCCTGTCTGATGTCGAGGGATGTGGTTGCTATTCATATTGTGTTCTTCGTACAGAAGACACAAGAAGTACCTGTGAAAGATCAAGTCCATAGATAATGGTCCATCAATAACAATCGCAGGTAATGGGACGGGGGTTGTCAGCAGAGTGTAGAGGTTCATAGCCGGAGGTGATCTGTGACTTGCAGAGGGTTGAAAACAAAATAGCTGTGTGCAGTTTTGAGCTGCACCAGAAATAACAATCCAGATGCTGTATATTAAAAATGGTTACAAATGCCTATGGCTGAAGCTGGGATTATCCTTTTTTGCCACTCTGATTCCCCCGTTCCCCGTCATGGATCCAGAGTGAAATGCAGCAAAGGAGATGGATTTGGGCCTGTTGACAATCCCCTCTGCCTTGTTTTTTTTTTTTGAAAATCCTCTTGTGACCATTTGAACTTGGGTGTTGTCAAGGCAGCAATCTGTGTTCCCTACACTGGGAATACTTTGCCGTGTTCAACTGCAAACCACCTGTCCACCTAGCAAGCAGGAAACCCAGAGACTCTGTGTAATACTTCATGGTATTGTGTGGCTCTAGGGATGGCAGCCTCCAGGACCTGGGGATCCCCTGGAATTACAGATCAGTTCCCCTGGAGAAAATGGATGCTTTGGAGGGTGGACTCTAGGGCATTCTGCCTCACTGTGGTCCCTGTCCTCCCCAGGCTCCATCCTCAAATCTCCAGGAATTTCCCAGCTTGGATATGGCAACCCTCCCTCATCCGCAGCCCGTAGCCAGGGGGACCTGACAACCTATATGGCTCAGGTACACACAAATGCAGTGCCATGTGGGCTGATAACTTGGGCTACATGACCCTGCCACTACATTTGTAAAGGAGAGTCAGGAGCACATATGAATCTAAATGCAATTTGCTGTATTTCAACAGACCTCTCTCTGGTTACAGGAGGATTGTAGAAATTAGGCAGATCTTGTGTATGCTGATGTGCATGTATGGACAGTGTGTGGCTTCCCATGCGGCATGTTGGGTGAACAGACCACCAAGGCCCATACTTAGCCTTGTGTCATCGATATCTGAACCAGCTGAGAAATTCCTTCAAAAGAACTTCAGGAACACTACAGCAATTTCTGCCAAACTTTGCGTTGTGACTTTTGAAGTGCTGCCAGGGAGTATTGGTCTATCTGTGTGTTTCATCTTCCTTCTGTTGGGGTGTTTCTCTTCTTTGAAAACTTAGTTTTAAAAGTGGTGGCAGTCTCAGGGCTGTATTAACCATTAGGTGAAATATGCTGAAAACCATGGACCTCAGCTAAATTGAAGGACCCTCTAATAGGGTACACTTATCGGCCATTACCTGTGTATAGGGAAGAGGTATGTATGTGTATATGCTTTCTAATACGGTGCAGGATGAGTGTACCTCTATAGTTTGGCTTTTGTAGAAATAGGTAGAGGGAGAACAATGGTATATGCCTTGGAGAGCTGCAGAGTTCCACACTATGTTCTAGAACCCTGTTCGGGAAATTCCAATGAATTTTATTATTTTTCTTCTATTTAGTGCTGCTTTGCGCATGTCACTTTTCTTTTTCTTTTTTTTAAAATTTCTATAGACTACAAACTACAACGAAAAAATGGGAAGGGAACATCTACATCTAGGGAGAAAGTAAAGAAAACCACTAATAACTAAAACCCCTAGAATAGGAGATCAGTACATCAGCTTATATAAATGTTAATCTTAAATGCTAGTAATACATTGAACATAATCAATGAAGCTAATTGTTTATCTTTTTAACCATTTTTTTAACTGTTTAAAGAATACACCAAGAACATCATTTATAACAAATGCTTTAAGGCACCACTCAGAGTTCTTCAGCCTTCACTTTGTTTTATCTTTTCTTTTTTTCCTCAAAAACAATTTATTAGGACATAATAAAACAAACATATATCAAATTCTTAGTTGTCATACATCCTTTTCTTCCATTCCCCACCCCCTTCTGGCTTCCCACAGTGTTCTAACCTCCAGCCCATAACTTAAGTTTTCCTCATACCTCCCTTCCCCATTATTCACAATCTATAGGTAACTTATATTTCAACTAATATTCTTATACATTTATCCTTTTTCTATTATCCTTCAATTTTAGTAATTATCAAAGCAAAGCAAATTGTTCTTTACATCTCAGTATTTCTCTAAATATTCTTTAAAATCTTTCCAATCTTCAGAAAATTCTTCCGCCTCCAAATTTTTAAGTTTTCTTGTCATTTTGTCCATTTCAACCATAAAAAGTAATTTCTTTATCCATTCCCCAATTTCGGGGACTCTGTCCTGTTTCCAACATTGAGCATACGTCATTCTGGCAGTTGTGATCATATACCACATCAATGTCCTTTTCGCCATGTTGACTTCTTCCATTTTAAGTCCCAACAATAATATTTCAGGTTCCTTCTTGAACTTACATTTCACAATTTTTTCCATTTCTCTATGTATCTCAGCCCAGTAACTTTTTGCCTTATCACAAGTCCACCACATGTGGTAAAAGGAGCCCTCTATTTTTTTACATTTCCAACACTTATTTGACATATTACTATTCATATTTGCAATCTTTTTGGTGTTATATACCATCTATACATCATTTTAAAACAATTTTCTTTCAAGTTAGTACATGTTGATATTTTCATTGCATTTTTCCACAAAAATTCCCAAGTTGCCATGTCTATCTCTTTGTTCATATTAATTGCCCACTTTATCATCTGTTCTTTAACTACTTCATCTTCTGTATACCACTGTAACAATATCTTATACATCTTAGATATCAACTTTTCCCTCCCTCAAACCATACATTTTCAATTTCATTATATTTTTTCCTAAACCCGAAAGCTTTTTTGTCTGTTTTAAACAAGTCATAAATCTGTCTGTATTGCAACCAATCACAATTAAAGTCTATCTCTTCTGCCACTTTCATTTCAAACGTCTTCCCCACAGGTTTCAAAATGTCTCTATATTGCAACCAGTCTTCTCCTCTATGCATCGAATAAGGTTTAAGTACCTCTGCCGGCACTATCCATAGTGGTCTTTCGTCTGAAAAATACCTTCTGTATTTAGTCCAAGTATCAAATAATGTCCTCCTTATATAATGATGCCTAAAAAAAACTATCCATTTTCATTTTTCTATACCATAAATACACGTGCCAGCCAAACCTACAGTCACGACCTTCTAACGCCAACAATTTTCTGTTGTCCAACGTAATCCATTGTTGCAACCAAGTTAAACAAACAGTTCTCCCTCTGAGGTGGAGGACATCTTGTATGGGTGATTCCCATCCATCTTCAGGGAGGCAGGACTAAGTTCAACTTCTTCCTGTTTCCTATGGTGGGAGTCACCCCTGGCTCAGTTTCTTTCCTGCCTCAGTAGGGAGAGCAGCTTAGTGTTAGGGCTCGCCTAACACTCACCTTTTAGACTATACTAGCAAATCTTTTCTGCTTTATTAACTTTCCTAATTGTTTTTTCTTCTCACTCTCACTCTAAAAAAAAAAAAAGGAAAAGGAAAAAAGAAACTGTTTCTCTTCACTTTACCTCAGCTTTCGTAGAGGCCCACAGGCCTAGTAAACAGATCAGACTCTGGAGCCTTTAAGTGGCCGTGAGTAAAAATCCTCCTCCTACTCACGAGGAATCGCTATGGACACCGGGGGATCTCCCCATGATCGTCACAGCCGCAGTGATAGAAAACGGGCCGCGTCCGAGCCCAGACATCACGAAAGAGCGCACAGTGAGAGCGGCAATTCTAAGCATGCCAGATGTTTGGTGTGTGTTCAAGTGGAGCCCGGCCGGCAGGCGGCGTCCTTTTTGG